ACGCTGCACTACCTTCCACTACACTTCACTACACTACACTCCACTACACTACAGCTACAACTACACAACTACACTCCACTACAATACTCTCCACTACACTAAATTACACTACACTACACTACACTACACTACGCTACCTTCCACTACACTTCACTACATGACACTACACTCCACTACACTACAACTACAACTACGAATACACAACTACACTCCACTACGCTCCACCACACTACATTACACTACACTACACTACATTCCACTACACTCCACTTCACTACACTACATTACACTGCACTACATTACACTGAATGACGCTGCACCACAGATAGACAGGTCAACAGATAGACAGATAGACAGACAGATAGATAGATGGACAGATGGATGGATAGACAGGTAGACAGCTAGACAGATAGACAGATGAAAGAGAGAGAGGGAGAGAGAGAGAGATAGATTAGATAGATTAGATAGATTAGATAGATAGATCGATAGATAGACAGATAGATAAATAGGGAATTAGATGAAAGAGAGAGAGATAGATAGATCGATAGATAGATAGATAGATACATAGAAGATAGGTTGGTAGGTGGGTAGATAGTCAGAGAAAGAGAGAGAAAGAGAGGAGACCTCAAGCACCTTTCGGTCCATCAGTGGATTCGCTCTGCCTTCCCTGATTCACAAAAACCAATCTCCCCTATAGGTTTCCTATTTTAGAAACTTCCGCCACCGCCTTGTGCGGTACTACTGGTATTATACTGCATGTTGCTGTGTTCAATTCTTTACTTCAATTTGGGATCGCGATGTTTGATTTCCTTTTGCAGTTTTTCACATGTGCAAGCATTTGCACATCCGAATTTTTGAGGCACACAACAATATCACGCATAAAGTTGTTTATATAAGGATATCCTTTTACATAGTTCAATCTACTTCATGTTTTTGGCAAAGCTTTTCGCATTTTTTAGATTATTTCATCAGCTTACCATTGGTTTTAAAAAGCGCCCAACTTATTTCAGCATCTTACCCCTGGTTTTGAACATGTTTTCATGATTTTAGAATTGGTTTTAATCCATGTCCAGCCTATTTCAGCATTTTACCTTTGGTTTTCAGCAATTGTCCAAGCTATTTCATGATTTTACCACTGGTTCTTATCAAGTTCAAACCTATGCCAATATTCTACCACTGTTTTCCAAGCAACTGCACAACCTATTTCCGCATTTCCATTGGTTTGCAGTTTGCAATCGTTGTTCCGCATATTTCAGCAGCTTACCGTGGGTGTTCATCTATTTTTTCCACTTGTAGGATTGGTTTTCATCAGTTTTTTCTTCCGTTCTTTGTCTCATCAACTTTCACCATTGTGTCATTGTTTTTCACTTTTTATGTTCATCCATTTTCATTTTGTTCATCACCTGTTATCCTTTTGGCATTGTCTTTACATGGTCTTTATTGTGATATGTTTCATCAATTTTGTTCCTTTGTAATTGTTTTATTTTTAGGTTTCATTTTCATCATGTTTCATATATATAGTTGCCCCTCCCCAAGTATTTTGTTTCAATGCAATTTTGCATAAAAAATACCTGAGCTATTAGTGCAGGAAAAAATGTATGCTATGCATACTGTGTGTTTGATTTCGAGTATGTGCCTTGCCACGGAACAACACTGCACCCTGCCACAAAAGGGGGTAAATGTGAAGGTTTATTTAATAATTCACGAGCTCAAGACCCACACTCTGGCTGAAGTTGACGAGGATCTGCTCAGGGGGGTAAAGGGGTTTGGTGGGTGGGTTTCCTTACTATATCAAAATATTTCATCAAATACTTATATATATATATTTATCATTCAAACAAATGAAATATGTTTCAAGAAATCTATATACATACAAAACAGGGGAAAGCCTGAAAGTGCGAAGCGCTGAAAAATATTTATGTCAATTTTGTTTGATTAATTGGCCTTGGAAATCAAAACTACCCCCATCTGGGGAAACGCGTGAGTGATGGAACCTCGGAACCTTGAAACCAAACAAATCGGGGGCCGGGGTACCCGAGTTAAAAGAAATGGCATTTATGCCCATCAAGTTGATAGAATTTCTTCCCTTGATCTAGATGCTAAAATCTGGTTCCAAACGGTTGAAAATAATGTGCAAGATGCAGTTGTGGAGGGTTGTTGTTGTTGTTGTTGTTGCTGCTGTTGTTGTTGTTGTTGTTGTTGAAACGCAACCATTCATACAAATTTCATGTCATTCGTTCTGAAATTATATATCATGAAATTTTAAGATGCAAAAATGAGCTGAAATTGCAACCAACTTATGCAAAGTTCATGTCATTTGTTCTGAAATTATATATATATATATCATGAATTATCATGATAGTTTAAGATTTAAAAACGATCTGAAATGAAACCAATTCATGCAAATTTCATGTCATTTGTTCTGAAATTATATATATATATCTCTCTCTCATGGTATTTTAGATGCAAAAACCATCTTGAAAATGCAACCAATTCATGCAAATTTCATGTCAGTCGTTCTAGGGTTATATATGTATCATGGTTTTTTAGATACAAGAATCATCTGAAAATGCAACCAATTCATGCAAATTTCAAGTCATTTGTTCTGAAAATTTAAGATACAACAATTATCTGCACTGCAACCAGTTCATACGATTTTCATGTTTTTTGATGTTTTATGATGTTTAAGACACAAATTTATCAAAAAACGCAGGGATATTTTTTTCACGTTTTTGGAGATAGAAAATTCGCGCAATTTCGACTGCATATATGCACGCAAAATGAAAGCTGCGAAAAACCCATTGGTTCCTTGCGTTTTTTTTCGAATACTTTATCTCAATTATAAAAATCAACAAAACGCAAAAAACGAAGATATATTTCAATTTCACTCGTAGGAAAAAATAGAACAACATGTTTCTATCTGCTAGCCGACCAACTCGTAGGAGTCAAAAACGCAAATATCCCTACGAGTTTTTTCTAGCTCCAAGCGAGTGACTATACCGATACCAAATTAATCTTATCTAATCTTTTCTAATCTTATCTATCGAACCTAATCTAATCATATCTAATCTAAGCTAACCTAATCTTGTCCTATATAATCTTATCTTATCCTATCTAACCTTTTCTTACCTTACCCTATCTTATCTTACCTTATCCTACCTAACCTTTTCCTACCTTATCCTATCTTATCTTATCTTATCCTGTCTAACGTTTTCTTACCTTATCCTATCTTATCCTTTCTGATCTAATCTTATCTTATCTTACCCAGTCTTTCTGCCTACCTTAAGTTATCTTATTTTATCTTATCGTTTCTTATCTTATCTATTTTGCCTATCTCTCTGTTGTGCCTAATCTAATCGAATCCAACCTAACCTAATCGAACCTGACCTAATCTATATAATCCACTCTATCTACCTATCTATCCATCCATCTATCTATCTATCTATCGATCTATCGATCTATCGATCTATCGATCTATCGATCTATCGATCTATCGATCTATCGATCTATCGATCTATCGATCCATCTATCCATCTATCCATCTATCCATCCATCCATCCATCTATCTATCCATCTATCTATCTATCCATCCATCTATCGATCTATCGATCTATCGATCTATCGATCGATCGATCGATCTATCTATCTATCTATTTATCTATCTATCTGTAAGGAAGCAGTTATGCGTTACTTCCTGCAAAAGGGGAAGTTGACAGGTCCAAAACGAAGCAATTTTGTGAGACTTCCTTCAAGTGTTGAAATTCACACAAGGTCAAAAACGAAGCATCTACGAGACTTGCTTCAAAAAATGCAGCGCTGACGGCCTCGTGCCAATGCGTTTTGCGATTTTTCGACCTCACCTGTCCAAAGTACCGTGCCTGCCACGGAAAAGTGAGGCCAGGTCATACGAAGTGCTGCACCTGTCATGCAAAATCATCTTAGCAAACCTGAAGAACTGATGCTCCAAAATGCAACTCCTCTCAGGAAATCAGCGCCCTGACCTGCTAACATGTCTGATGGAGATATCTCCTGTACAGTGCCTGCCAAACGAAGTGCATCCCTGCAGATCTTCTTCAAACGTCCCACGCCCGCACTCGCATTTTGAGTTCGACATGTGCTTCGCGCCACAGTGGCGGGGACCTTTTCAACATCTCTACTTCCAAAGGTGCTCCGGGCCCAGAGTATTTCTAACCTGTTTACTTCAAAATGTCCTGCACTTTGTGAACATCTCAACTTGCAAGAGCGCTCCGGGGCTGAGGTGCTTTTAACATTTTGACTTCGCAATGTGCTTCGCGCCACAGCGCCGTGCATTTTTCAGCATCTCAAGTTCCAAAAGTGATCAAAAGTGCTCCGGAGCTGAGGTATTTTTAATATGATTAATTACTTCGGAATGGTCTTTGCGCCACAACGGCATGCGTTTTTCAACATGTCTATCTGCAAAAGTGATCCGAACCCAAAGTGTTTTTAACATGTTTTAACATTTTTACGTTGAAATGTGCTTCGCGCCACAGAAACGTACCCGCTCTGTGACCTAGCTTCGTTGAACTTGGTCAGCCTATGTATCAAGGGGGCACACACATGCCACGCAAACCCACCTGCCACGCACACACACACACATCCATTTTTTTAACGTATATATATATAAATAAATTATATATATATTATGTATATATATATAAACATGTACATGGTAAATATATTGATCATGATCATATGTGTATGTGAATCATCCATGCCTGCTTTGCTATTGTGAATTTCGCATTGGAAACAGATGCGCAGACCAAGTTCCATCTTGAGCTCCGACTGAGGCCCAGACTCGGCACAAACAAATTTTCTTGCTCAGCAGGGGTGTGGACCTCAGTGGAGACGCCAGGTGAGTTTTGCCGTGTTGTCGCATTCGGAAATTCCCCAATTCAATTCCTAGTCAGTGTCCGCCTGCTCAGTTACCTCCTCCGAATCTGAAGACCTCGTTTTCCTCGGCCCCAAAGCTTGAGCCATCAGCTGGGGTCTCAAAGATTTCAACCTTCATTTTCAGTTTCAAGACATCTCTTACAACGGGTATAATAAGATTCCCTTACGCACATCTTTCCCTAAGAGCGCCTGAGCGTAGGGTTCTTCTTAAAAAAGCAGACGAGATAGTATCTTTACATCTTACATCTATGCGCCTTACATCTTCACATCCTACGCGTGCGCATTTTTACATCTGCACATCTTAGCCTTCACATCTTACATCTGCACATCTTCCATCTGTGACTCTTTCATATGCACATCTTACATCTTCATGAGTTTTACAACTGCACATCTTACATCTTCACATGCTACGCCTGCGCAGTTTATATTTGCACATCTTAGTCTTCACATCTTACATCTGCACATCTTCCATCTGTACGCCTTACATCCGCGCATCTTCCCTCTTCAAACCTTACACCTGCACATCTTAGTCTTCATCTTACACCTGCAACTTCCATTTGCACATCTTACGTCTTCCCATCTTACATCTTCCCATCTTACGTCTTCACATCTTACTCTTCTCTCCTTTTCTGTTCTCTCCTTTTCTCTCTCTCTCTCTCTCTTCCCTCTCTCTCTCTCTCCTTTGCTCTCTCTCTCTCTCTTTTCTCTGTCCTTCTCTCTCTCCTCTGCTAATCTTCATTCTCTCTTAAACCCGCGGAGGCGGCGGCCACGAAAAATCACGAAACACACCAGTTTCGCGCAAAATGAGGTTCGATTGTCAAAAGCTGCCGAAAAATTGTGATTTTTGTTGTTCTGCGGCGACCCTTTCGCGCGAAATGAGGTCCGATCGTTAAAGACGGAGGAAAAATTGCAATGCTTTTTGTTTAGCTGTTTAGCTGCGTTGCAACCTACTGTGGGGCCCCCCTGTTTTTTTTTTGGGTGTACATCCTATGTGAATATAGCATGAGCACTGAGCACACTTTACATCCGCTGTCAAGGCTCAAGAGAGATATAGAGTAATCCTGTAGTCTAGGCACCGCACCGACTGGCTATTGGATATATCATGAGCACTGAGCACACTTTACATACGCTGTCAAGGCTCAAGAGAGATATAGAGTAATCCTGTAGCCCAGGCACCACACCGACTGGCTATTGGCCGTGTGAGTAAAAGGTGTGAGGCTGTGTGGGAAGACGCCCTAGCTGATCTAATCTAGACGCCAGTGCCCCTCTTCAAGTGGTAGCGGAGCAGTGATCCTTCATTGAAGGTGAGCTCCAGGTAGAGCCCGATAAGGCACGCCATGGCTATGATGATGATGGCTTCGACATTGTGAGGCAGATGGGTGGAATCAATACGACTCTTCTGCAATGAGAAGAGCACCCCAACAACCGTCAATCCATATGACGCAGCAGATGACCACGAATGTAGCCCCTGCATATGATGGACGAACCAGTTTCTTTGCCTTTTAAGATGCATTCGATGATTGGTGTGACATCAGAGCTGGAACCGGAAAAACGTGGACCTGCTTTGAGGAACAGATTGGAAGGTGAAGCATCTCAGTACAAAAGACTACTGAACCGAGAGTTGTTGAGAGACCCAAACGATGGTGCGAACTATTTCAAGAGATTCTTGCAACCTCATGTCACCAAGGGAGCCCAAACAGTGTTCTTATATTATATCGTTTCATGCAGCTCATCAAGTACAACAGAGGTCCCATGGATTTGCAAAAGTGGATGACTAGATTTCAACTGACTGGAAACAGACTTATTGAGTCCAGAAGCAATTGCATTTGTTGCCCAACGTCGTCGAGAACATGGAGAACGTCAAGCTGAACTTGCAGGTGTTGCAGCAGCACTTCCAGGACAAGAACCACATGTCCATGTGCCATGGACAGATGAACATGCATTGGCAGCATTCAGACAACTCAATGAAAACAGAAGGGCGCAACAGAGAATGGCTTTTCCCTTAGGTGACACTTTGCCAGCATTGACTGTTTGTAAGTCTGGCAGATCTGACGCAAGATCGGAGGAACACACTCACAAGTATCATGGCACACCGTGGGCGAACACTAGATCAGTACAATGTGCAAGAACTCAGAGATCTTTTCCAGGAAATGTTTTGCACGACGAAGACAGCAGTGGACAATCCTATGATGCAACCCTCTGGCATTGGACCGAGAAGATCTTTCCTCGTCCTGGAAGACGGAGAACTAGAAGGAACTGACGGCTATCGGGCCGAAGATGATGAAGATGGCGCAGAAGGATTCCTGGGTGCTTTAGAAGATGTTTTCTGGGTTTACGATGACGGTGACTACACATGGTATCAGAGAAGGTTCCAAGGAAGACAGACCAGACGAGGCAAAGGTAAAGGCAGAAGGAAAGGAAAAGGAAAAGGCAGAGGAGGACGAAGGTTCTTCAGATCAAGGAAAGGAAAAGGCCGAGGAAAAGGAAGAAGAAAAGGCCGCTCTCACATGGTGAGTGAAGAAGGATATGAAGAAGAATGGAAGGAACGAAGGAGATGAGTGGAATGAATCTCATGAAGGCTATTGGGCCCATGGTCAGAACTGGAATGAAGGCTATCGGGCCTATGAAGATCTGTACTACCTCGATGAGTATGGATATTTCCAGGGGAAAGGAAAAGGAAAAGGAGAAGGAAAGAAAGGCAAGAAGGGCAAGGATGATGATGGCAAAGGGGGAAAACCAGGAGATGGCAAAGGTAAGTCCAACTATGTTCAACCTCAGACCTCATCGACTCCTGCCATACAGAACCAACAATAACAACATTACTCTTCAGCAGCATCAAGCTCGGGCATGCATGGTTTCTTTGCTTTTGCAGACGCAGACCCGGCACGTGTGGATGTTGTGACGGCCACCTATGAAGAGCAAGAGTACAAGAGACGCACTCGTCGAGGAGGACAAAACCAACGTGATAAAGTGGCACGGCAGAGCAGAGAAGAATCCAAGAAATTTCCTCTCTTGGTTGGAGATCTTGGCACACCCCGTTCAGGTCTACAACGACGACCAGCACCAGTGCCCAGAGAAGTTGGTTTACAACACGGTGAGGCTTCATGGAAGCCATTGGCAAAAAGGAACATCATTGTTTACATATGGGTACTCTGAGAAGACAGAGATACCATCTTATTCTCAACGCTCTGAAGAGATAGAGGAATCAGATGAGCAGGAAAGTGCTTTTTCATTTCATATCATACAACCTGATTTGGCATGTGAGAATGGTTTAGCTTTTCACACAGAGAATTCTGCACCACCAACTGTATGTATTTTTGACCTTGGATGCACAAGAGCTATGGGCTTGCGACGAGCAGTTGAAGCTTTTTGGAGTTATGTTGACTCACATCCCAACAGTGGACTCTGGTATGAAATTCAGCCAACAAGTTCGAGATTCTTCTTTGCAATTTCCCAACAATCCAAGTGCACTGAAAAACTTGTGATATTCATGTATGACAATGGATGGAACGCTCAGTTCACAGAATTCGACATTGTCGAAGAAGGTGATGTCCCATGGTTGACATGAGAAACCTTGGGTTCCAATTTGAACTTTCTCCAGACAAGGCCTACTTGTCCTGTGCATGCATTGGCATGAGAAAAATGGTCTTGAAGACAGCCATTAGTATTCATCTCATTCTCGATCTACAAGATTTTGCATGGTACATGAGCCAAGTACATTTTAAGACCCCACAAGTCAAGAGTTTCTTCTCACAACATGATCACTTTGAGTACAGCCAGGTTGCTGTGAAGCAAAGTGTTCAAGAAGAAGGAAGCTCTGGTGACTGGTGGCTACTGGCAAGTCGATGGACTACGTCGTGAACTCATCAGGCATCACAAGGACAAGAGACAGAACCGACTGAGACAACTCCAATTCCGAAAGATCCTCTTCTTGATGAGAGAGAAACTCACATTGAGTTCCAGAAGAGCAAGAAGAAGGTTCTCCACAAGGACAACTGGCGCATTGTGAGGAAAAGGTTTGCTGACAAGATGGAGGAATTCTGGAAGGGCAAGACGATCTACAAGATCAAAAAGGACTACGTGATCCCTGAAGATGTCATCAAAAGTGACATTGATCGAGCTAAACCTGCCAGAGGAAACATATATGATCAGTTTTACCCTGAGTCAGCCTCTTCTGAGCCATCAGGTGTATAGAAAAAGCCAAGCTCTCAAAAGAGAGAGGCAGGCAAACAGATTTCAAAAGGACCAAGCTTGAAAAAGATTGAGGTAGGTCCTCCTGCAGCAAAGAGGCACGTAGGTAAGCAGAAACCAAAGGTTGTGGATGATTCTCAAGGAGGTTCATCAAGAAAGAAGGTTGTTGTTTCTTAGCCTCAGCAAGAGGAAGATGGTGAAGATGAACTGGATAGGATTGCTAGGGAACTGAACCTTGAACCAGATGAACCTCAAGCCATCGAACCCAAATCTTCTGCACCTGCGAGTGCACGTGGTAAGTAAGATTCAGAAAGTCAAGTCGAGAAACTAGGTAGTGAAGCTCTCATGGATCGGACAAAAGATGGGCTTTTCGTTCCCATCTTTGCACCATTCAGTATTTGTGCGTGGTTGTACACCCACTCAGGTTGAGTACCCAATCGATATTCATTTCAATCGTGTATCTGTAAACTTCCTCTCAAGAAACCAGTAGTTGATTTGTCCGGCACTCAATTAGATCATACATTGGGTTTCATACGATGCCACGCGACTCGAGACCGTTCACGCACTAGGGATCGCACAGGTCGACCACCATGTAGTAGATCTCTTATTTTCAATTTTCGTCAGTCTCTGAATGGAACCCAACGTGTCGATGTCATAAATTCCCTCTGCATGTTCCACGCACGGAACATCGTCCTGATCATATTTCATGTTTCTCGTCTCTGGTGGATTCCTCCATTCTTTGGCAGGTCGCATTTAGTAGACGAAGTACTTCCTGATTGGCACACGTTTTTGTACAAAAAAACATAGTTCTTTGAACTGTTTCTCCGCCGATGGAAACTGCCCACTTCATTGATGCAATATTGGCAGGGTTTCTTACGACAAATTTACTTTGATTGTC